ACTCTTCTTTATGTGTGCGGGGAACGAACTCTTCTATTCAATGCTTTACGCCCTCCATTTTACCGACGGGCCTCAGAGTAAGTCACATTTTACGACGTTCTAGTATGGTTTGAGGGATTGGTTTCCCAATAAGTTTAATTATGAATAAATGAAGTTCCTTGGAGATAATACGGCTCTTATAATTGAAGAAGAGCGCTCACCGATCGTGTTACGGAACTCACTCGTCTCGTTGTGCCGTGGGGGTCTCTCTGGAGCCCAACCAGCAGCCGCACAGCGGCGCGTAATGTAGGCAGAATATTGGGACGAGTGAGTTCCGTAACACAATCGATGAGCACCCCTCTACCATTGTATATTCCTGATCGCAACCGACAGGAGAACAAGCATGGGGCTCAGAAGTTAGATGCGTTGGACTTCTAACCAACAGGTCGCAGGATTGAGCCCCAGGTCTTCCACATTTCGAGGTTGGGTATAACTGGCTGACGACGGCTAATAAGCCAGAAATGACCGTTCCAGTCTCCCTTGTCTTTGTCGGTAATGTTATACGGTTCTTATTTTGTACATTTTGAAAACTGACTGCTCATCGTCACGCGTATGCACAGCATTCAAAAGCAATTGGCTTTTAACTATGCCCAACGAAGGCTTTTGTGGCTGGTTAGAGTTTGTGTTAACAGGCGTCCACTACATTCAGTTATCGTGTCGGTATGGACTGTGTTCGTCTTGACATGTCGTTGAGTACTTTGTGTGCGGCCTCATTTAAGTGCATTGCTCTAGGAACTCCCGGTTCCTTTTTTGTTGGACAGGCGCTGACACTGCTTTTTTTTCCAATGTCAATGTGTGGTCTGTGTCCAGTGTATGCATAATTACCCTAGATAGATGGTCTTTTCTCCTTACCGATGGCTGCTGTTCATATGTAAGTGTAAAGGCGGATTCGTCGGTTTGACCGCATCAGACTGCGTAGAATTTTGTAGACAGCCTTTTTCCTATCGAAATATCAAACTGCGTCTTTGGGGTGTACAAGCGAGGTGCGCAAAGTAATTGTAGATTTACAAACTATCTGTGTCTGATATCTTTTAGTCTGTCTTTCGCCAGGCTCAACCACAGTTTTCACGTTAGTTCGAGCCTGTAGGTGGATGGTTTTGACGTCTAGGTGGCCGTGGCGTTTGAAATGCCTTTCTCCTTAAACTTTTGTTGCATCATGCGCCAACACACAAGGCCGAGAGCGTAACCGTTTTGCGACAATAATCTGAGAAAGCGTTTTTTCTCTGTTTGATAAATTTCTTTCCTGGAACAGTGGGTTTCAGCGTAGTTTGATGGAATGTTAACTGAGCTACGTTTGTGAGAGATGGGATGACCTCTGTGCATATGCATTTGTGGTCGATCGACTTGCCACCGTTGACTTGCGGTTAGGCTTTTCAGCCAAAGCGCTAGAGGAGAAAACCTCGAACAAACAATCCGAGCGGCTGTTGGGGACCCGCCCGTATTCGAAATTCCCAAGAAACCTCATAAAACATGTCCGATCACAGTACTACGACCCATGCTACGGCGTCCGCGGGAACCGACGCGCTCTGCAACCCTGGTCCAGTGATGCGGGCGCATAGTATGCGAGCTGGACTACTCAATCGTGGACGGACTCTCGGTATTGGGTGCTGGAATGTGCGAACGTTCCTGGACCCTGGTACCCAAAGTCTGACCGCGCGCAGCCTTGATCAGTACAATGTGGATGTCCGCTGTCTGTCTGAGGTTCAACTCCCTGACACAGGCTCCCGTGAAATAAAGATCCCTGGAGTCGAATCACATTATATCCTGTACGACAGCAGCCCGCGCGATTCTTCTGGTCGACACGGTTTGGCGATCGCCTTATCGCAACAAGCGGACCTCGCGCTACTTGCTTGGGAACCAGTCAATGACCGGATGGCCTACGTGCGACTGAAGGGTCACTTCACGAACATCTCCATCGTCGCTGTGTACGCACCAACTTCGGCTGCCGAACAGCACGATAAAGAGGCGTTTTACTCTCAGTTGCAAGCGCTAGTTGAAAGACTGCCTCGCCGCGATCTGCTGATTGTTGCTGGCGATTGGAATGGTCGGACTGGACTTGGCGACCCCACAACCAGTCATCTTCTTGGCCGCTTTGGATTTGGCTCCCGATGCGAAAATGGTGAGAGATTGCTGAACTTCGCTGATCTAAACCGACTGCTTGTCACCAACACATGTTTCAAGCATCACAAGAAACATCTGCTGACCTGGTATTCAAACGACGGTCATACGGCCAGTCAGATTGACTACATACTAGTCAGCTCAAGGTTCCGCAGCTGGGTTCACGACAGCAGATCGATGCGTGGTGCCGAGACTGGTAACGCCCATGGGTCGGACCATGTCCTCGTCCGTACACGCTTGAAGGTTCATCTCTCATCCGCGCCAAAAATGCCACGTCCTAGACGCCTCGATGTCGCAAAAACCCGGCAAGCCAGCACTGCCGAGGCCCTAAGCAGAGAAATCCGGACCTGTTTTACGACCCGAGCTGACGGAGAAGTCAGTAACCAGTGGTCGTCACTGAAGACTTCAGTCTATGGGGCAACTGAGAAAATCCTTGGATACACCCAGCGACGCCGCAGTGACTGGATCAGCGGAAGAACCCTGCAGTTGTCTGCTCAGACGGCTAGAGCTAGGTCCCGCAACGATGACTACTTCCGCAACTTCGGAAGATGACGGCAAAATCGCCTAGGGATGACCGGAAGCAATATTGGGCTGAAATACCGACCTCCATGGAACAGGCCTCGAATGTTGGTGACACTCGAAAGCTCTACCGTCTGATCCGCCAAGTTAGCGGTAAGCCCTCTACACTGAGTGACTCTGTTCGCGATGTGAACGGCGGCTTTATTGCTGACAACTCGGCCAAAGTCGAGCGCTGGCGTGAGCACTTTGAGCACCATCTCAACTTCGATACCCAACCTACATCGCCCTTGTTCTCCTCCTCAGCGGAGTTTCTTCCCTCTCCTACCTATGCAGTGCCATGCGATCCCCCCTCCGAGGAAGAAGTCGCCGATGCCATACGAAAGTTGCGCAACAATAAGGCACCCGGAGAGGACGGTATATCCGCTGAAATCTTTAAGTCTTGTGTCGACGCTCTGGCGCCCTGGCTCCATGAGGTGATTGAACGCGCGTGGAGAGACGAGGTTGTCCCTGATGACTGGGGCTTAGGCATCCTTGTACCTATCCTCAAGAAGGGAGATAAGACGAGATGCGAGAACTACCGCGGCATAAGTCTCATCGAAGTTGCTGCGAAGATCTTCGCTATTGTCCTACTCGGACGATTCCAGGCTGTGCGTGACTCAAGGACGAGGCCCAACCAAGCCGGATTTCGTGCTGGACGTGGATGCGCAGATCAGATATTCACACTGAGGCGCATTCTCGAATTTCGCCATAGCTACCAACAACCGACAGCCGTCTGCTTCGTTGACTTTGCCGCCGCGTTCGATTCCGTTCACCGTGAGTCCCTGTGGCAGGTAATGGCGCTAGATGGTGTACCGGCAAAAATCATCGCCATGATCAAGGCCTACTATCATTCCACTACTGCGAGAGTCCTGGTCCGTAACAATTTTTCCCAACCGTTCGGTATTCGGTCTGGCGTCCGACAGGGTTGTATCCTGTCACCCATACTGTTCAACTACGCTATTGACTGGATCCTCGGGAGGGCCCTACGCGACAGTGACGGTGTTGAATTTGCACCCGGACATCGACTGACTGATCTCGACTATGCCGATGATATCGCCTTACTTGCTTCAAGTTTTGGTGATCTGCAGTCTATGGTGTCACGAGTGAACGAGGTCGCTAAATCAGTCGGTTTGTCCATAAACGCTGGGAAGACCAAAGTATTCTCAAGCTGCATCCCTGACCAGGAGAAGGCACCATTGGGGATTGATGGCTGTCAACTTGAAGAAGTGGACAGTTTTAAATACCTCGGGGCGCGGCTGCTGCCTAATGGACAGAGTAAGGACGACATTGTCTCCCGAATCGATGCTGCCCGCTGGGTTTTTTCAAGCCTTCGGAAACGCCTATGGATCCGACGTGACCTCTCCATCGCCATCAAGATTCGCGAGTACCGTGCATCTGTCCGGTCTGTCCTTCTCTACGGTTGCGAATGCTGGACATTGCGCGTGGAGGACGAGCCAAAACTGGAGGTACTTGACCACCACTGCTTGAGGACCTTCCTTCGAGTGAAGTTCACCGACTTCGTCTCAAATGAGACAGTCCGCGCTCGCTGCGACAACATCGCAAGGATAATTCAGGACATCCAAGAAAGACGACTGAGGTGGTTGGGCATGTTCTTCGTCGTCCACCTCAGGAGCTCAGTGATACTGCCCTCGATCCTGAATCGTTGCTCCATTGGAGGCGTCGAAGAGGGGATCAGTTCAAAGCCTGGCTCGACACAGTTCTTTAAGACATGGAGGTGGTTCTTGAACCTTCGGTATTCGGTCTCCGTCGTTGGCGAAGGGAATGGGTTGAACTGTCTAGATCTGCTGCCGCGGATCGTCACGCTTGGAGAGGTACAGTTCGGAACATCATCGAGGCCGGCTAGATCAGGCATGATCGCAGCCGTATCAAGTACAAGTAAGTACAAGTCTTCCGATGTACGGGTACATCCAGGAATGGGAGTTTTTCATCAGCCTCTGCTTTGAAAGCTAATTTAATTCCTGCAAAATCGGAGTGCACGTTATTGTAATTCATTTTTAATCAATATTCTTGACAACGACAAACATCCCATCCACTTAGCTTAGTCTCAATTCCGGGTTAACAGTGTGGAGGGATGTAGCCTTCGATTCCTCTTTTATGGCCGCTGCCATGAAACCCATTTTGAGGAACCTATAGGGGCGTCTTTTTCTGTCGATGGTAGTGCCTGGCAAGGGAAATTTTGTTTCTATACAGAGATCTAGAAGTTGAGTCAAGGCGTCCGCAGGCACATCCATAGTGTAGATTCGAAGGCGTTAATCGGTACAGCTTCTCGCTAAGTCTGGATACACCGAGACGATGTTATTATTTTATCAGTTGTGACTTCGAGTCCTTTTACTTTAGATTCTCGAAGCGTGTCTTTGGAGTTCTTTGTTCCTGGGTAGAATTGGTTAAATAGCCACTTTAAAGTCTTTAGTGGTTTGGTGCACCGGTTAAAGAGGCCATTGGTTGTGTTGCGATGCCGGTTTTGGGAACTATAAAGCCCTTATATTTTGGTAGTCGTTTATTTATACTGTTTCAAAATCTTGCATAGAACTCTTGAGATAAATTTGGTTCCTACGAGGCGTTTTGATGCTTTTTCAGTATATGTGAACATGTGTGTGATTGTTGACGCCTTTGGTCCTCATTGCTCCAGTTTTATGTTTTTGAGCCCTGTCTCAGACATCTTCTAATCGACTGACGTCGGAGGTTGCTGCACCGTTCTTTATTCCAGTTCGTCATGTGCCTGGTGACCCCGTATGGCAGTCTTCATGGCTACGTGACTGATTCTAACGTATTTGCCCGGGGCTTTTAAGATTTCGTCTTAATGTTTTATTTCCTATCTATCTTGGCGACCAGCGCCGGTAGCGAATTCGCTGCATAATGGTCACTTTTGAAGAAGGAGACACGATCGCCGGGACAAGAGCTTTATTAGCCTGACGTTTCGGATTCCTACTCGAATCCATCATCAGAGACAAAAGAGCAGAAACGGGTGGTTGTTGCACAAGGGGCTGCGGTATTTATAGGATGCAGCAGCCATGCTACCGCATGCCTATGAACGTTCACGGCTTCCCCCTTCATCCGGGATTGTCACACTTGGGGTGATCATTGCTTGATGGCCGACATTCGAGTCGATAATTGTCGCAATTTCATCACGTGCGTTGGATGTTGGCGTGATGATTGCTCGACCATCTGATGCGTTGACCCGGGTGTTGGGAAGAGTGTTCACCAGTGCGCTCCCCGCGTGGCCAATTACTCCGCCTAGACGAAGTCTCAGCACGCAGTATGGAGTGGGAAGATCGTTGCACTTGTTGATGGACTGGGGGCCAGTAAACCATGATTCCCTTAGCTCTCGGCTCACTCGGTTGTCACCTCTTGCGAGAATTTCGGCCTCATCGAATTTAAATGTGTGGCCGGGTCTCGTCGAATGAGCCGCAACTTGAGAGCTTGCGTCATTTCTGCGCACCGCTGCCGCGTGTTCGGCCATTCTCGTTCGGAGCTGTCTTCCGGTTTCTCCGACGTAGTTGCTTTGTCCGCAACTGCACCAGATCCGATAAACGACTCCAGACGTTTCTAGCCATGGCAGTGGGTCTTTCGGTTTCATGATCAGACCGGAGGTAAGCCGTGAACGTTCATAGGTATGCGGTAACATGGCTGCTGCATCCTATAAATACCGCAGCCCCTTGTGCAACAACCACCCGTTTCTGCTCTTTTGTCTCTGATGATGGATTCGAGTAGGAATCCGAAACGTCAGGCTAATAAATCTCTTGTCCCGGCGATCGTGTCTCCTTCTTCAAGACTACTTCCTGGGACTCGGCTCTTCGCTTCTATTGGCAATGGTCACTTTGTCGGTCACCACTCAACCATTGTCATGACATGGCCGTTCTAATGAACTGAAATCTTCTCCACGTAGAGTGAGCATGTCCCTCAATCCCTAGACTTAGTTGTCCGAAATCCGGTTTTTGCCATTTTACGTTTACTGTCCCCCGAAGGCTTTTTAGATAAACATTACTGAGATTCCGCGTTTGTATTTGGTAGATTTTCCAAGCTTCTAACGCCATAGAGAGCTTTTATCGAGACTACAACCTCAAAACTTTCCGTGCTGGCGTGCAACTGAATACCTCGGCGATTTAGTATTAAGGATTGACGTCACATGAAGGTCTGACTGACTTTGGATGTTCAGGCTGCAGTCCCGTCATCACTTTTGCTTCTCCTTGAGATATCGTCCCCAAAACAAAATAATTGGTTTATAGCTGTGAACGACGATTCCTTGATAGTGTTTGAAGGCACCCTATATCCTCCGTTGGATTCCACGTTGATGTTCAATCTGAATGTGTCTCGTCCGGAGGTGGGAAGGTCGGGGTTTCGTCTTCAACGAAGAGACGACGGTTTATCCTAGCCTTGCAGATCTTGGCAATGGTATTCATGTGAATGACGAATAGCCTCCAGTGATAAGCATCCATCAAAACATAGTGCCGGGGGGGGAGGGTTAGGGCAAGTACACAACCCCGCCCTTGCATGCCGTGCAAGACGGTTTCAAGGGTCACCCATTGTTTGTGACACAGGATATCATCCTGTTGTGAAGTTGCTGATAACTAGTGTGAATCTCTCGGGTCATCCAGATTTCAGCCTTATTTTCCAGAGTCCGTTCAGCTCCACGACGTAGAAGGTTTTTGTGTGAAGGCGAAATGCCGAGTTCCAGGTGTATGCATAAGTGAAGAAGAAGAAGAGGGGGTCGAGCACCAGAATATTTTGATTATTGTCCTGAGCTTTCCAACTCGTGCAGGAGTCCATTGTCAGAGGTAGCAGCAGCAGCAGCAGCAGAACAAGCGACAGTTATAAGACATGCGGGCTAATCATCGACCGACGGCGCAAAGCTGGAGGTGACTGTACAGGACTCTGTAAGCCGGCGCCAGATCGACAAATCGATTGGCTGAGTTCTCATCCGAGATTCAATCGATTCTCGGACTGTTTTGCTTCCGGCGTGGACGACTATTTTG